TTTAGGAGCAAAATATAATAAATGGAATATTCTATGGATGCAAATTTTTTTGCATCTTTTTTCTTTTTTGTAAATTATTTAGATGCATTTTTTTCTTTGCTAATTTTCGTGCCAAGTTTGAATATTAATGAAATGAATAAGAATAAAAATAAAAATGATGAAAATTATGAAGGTAATAGAAATGATTAACACAAATTATTAAAATCAATATTATATTCTGTTTATTATAAATAAATTGATACAAATGAAAATAAGAATGATGAAAGAATCAGATAATAATTCATAATCATGAGTTGTTTAAAATGATAAAAAAAATAAAAAAGTATTTAAAACAAAGTATTTATTAACTAGTTAATTGATACGATTAATTATAAGCAATAAATGTGTTGAATTAAATAAAAGAAAGAACAATTAAAGAACAAAATTTGTAAACAATATTAATAATATAAATATCAGTATTAATTTATTTAATTATATGCATACAAATACAAACAACAAACAAAAAATATAAAATATAAAATAAATGTGTCGGAGATTCAAGTCATTTAGAGTAATTAATAACCAATAAAAAATAAAATATGGTATGAAGTTGTTTCAGAATAAAGACTACAATTTTTCAAAAACATTTATCAATTAAATCATTTGGAAATAGACATTTACATAAAATATGTTGTGTAAAAATATTAAAGAAGAATAAACACATCTAGAACATATTTTTGATGATATTAATTACAAGAAATGAACAAACAAAAAGAAGACCATAACTAACTTGACTATTTTGTTAATTAATGACTGAATTAATAGTTTGTATTCTTATAAAAACCAACAATAAACTACCAACTATTGATTTCTATTAATACGACAGTTGATATATATTTTATATTAATCATGTGTAATTTACTTTCTCCATCTTCGTTTATTTTCGTTTTAGTTATTAATATGAATTTAAACTAGATTTAGATTATTTACTTTTGTTTTATTATTTTCCTTTTTTCTTAATTTACAAATTTCATATATTTATTCTTATCTTTTATAGTCTCTTATTTCTTTTATTATTCTTTTGTATGTTATATTTTTTCTTATGTTCAATTACTATTATAAAATAACCCATTTCTTTATTTTCCTCGATTCAATTCATTCTTAAGTACAATGAAATTATTGTTTTTTCTTATTGATAGAATTAGAATAATTCCCATTTGATGTTGTTTGGTGTTATATTATTTTCATCAAAATATTCATCATTATTTTTATGATGTTTTTTAATATTACAAATATTCACAATATAAGATAGATATTTTATTAGTTCAATACATTTGTTTCACAAATTATTTATTGTTAAATTAACTTCTTTCTTTATTCATCTGTTACCCATTTAATATTCCATGAAGATGTCTTTATTCATACAGTTAATAATAATTATAAAATATTATTAAAACCATAAATCTTCATTGAAAAGAACAAAATAAACATTGAATAAGTTCATAAACATATATCAGTTAGTTGCACATTTTCAATTTAATAATTATTTTATTATCAAAACTTAACATTACTGAAAGTGGATATAAAAATAAAATAATTAGAATATCATAAATTATTCCAAGATATTCAAGAATTTAAATACTGGATAAAATTCCCAAAAGTTACTAACTATTTTTATAGAAAAACATGTTTTAAAATAAATTGTGTAAATTTTTAATAAAAGAAAGAAAAACATAGTGAATAAAAGAAATTTAAAGAGTAAGTAGCAAATATGAACTAGTTACAAATAAAGATTTACAATAAAATGATTAAATTATCTAAAGAAAATAAAAAGTAAATCAATTCAATCAAATTAATAACTGTTGTAGTTCTGCCATTATTTCACTGTCTTGTTTATTTAAGAAAGGTTTTGACTCTAAAGATAGGGTTTGAATAATTGATTTTGCTTGAATAATAATTGAATGATATCTTTCATTTAATTTATTTTGTTTTATAAATTCAAGTAATAAAGGAAGAAGTAATGAAATACGAGTCATTAATATTCCTTTAATATTATCCATTAACACAATGATAGTAGTAAATAATAATGAAATAGTTACTGGTGGTAATTGATTAATGAGAGCACAATGTTGAAGTAAAATGTGTAATAATTGATTAGAAATAGGTGCCAATCCTAATTTAAAAGAAAGAATTAATTGTTGTAATAATTGGTGAGTTTGATTAATTTTTTCGTAATATTGAATTCTTTCATTTAAGTCTAACCCATTAATACCATTCTCTCTAACTCCTCCAATTTTTTTAATATAATTAAGTACTTTATCAAATTCAACATTTCCATATTTGAAACAACACAACAAAGCCTGATGCTTTTCATTTTCATTTGAAAATTGATGTTCTTCAATTTTACTCCATAAATCTCCTTTTATTTTAGAATTTATTAAAACACCATCTTCAACACTACTCTTCCAACTAACATCAGCAATTCTTGAAATTGCACTTCCATTAATTAATTCTAAATCAATAGCGGCTGCAATTTTCATGAGGGTTTCATGAGAACATGACTTAACAACCCTAGGAACAATAATTGTTTTAATAATATTTTGTCCTTCACTTCTTAAATGAGGAGATGGGATCATCCTTCCTAACAATGCAATAAATGGATCTACTGTAGTTTCTGGAAGTGCTTTAAAGGTATTAATTAATTTGTCAATATTTTTTTCAATCCAGTCTTCAGGAATATATTGTAATGATGCACTTATGTATTCAATATTCTCTAATTTTCCTTTTCTTAAATTTTCTATTGCTGCATTTAAATATCGTTCTCCATTATTAGTAAATGACTTTTCAATTAGAGTGACAAATTCTTCTATACTAACGGATGAACGATTTTGCATGGATTTTGTGTTTTTTAAGAGTTTCTTCAATTAGTTTTATAATATTATTACTTATTATCTTTTTTATTATTCTTTTTTTTATAAAATTTATAACTTACTTACAGTTCTGAAAAAATATGAAACATTTATTCTTTTTTTCACATTGAATCTATCACTTTCAAGGTAGGTCTTCATTGTATCTACTAATTTATGAAGAATAACAAACAGCATTTCCTCTATAAAATATTCTGACAACTAAAGATTAAAAATAAAGAAAAAAGAAGAAGAGATAAGCAAAGAAAAGAGAAAAAAAGGATTTTGTTATTACAAACTAGAAAAACAAAAACGAAAAAACAAAATGGAGTGTTTCATTTGTCGTTTGTTATTTAGAGGAAAAGAGGAAAAGACAGAAGAAAGTGGTATTAATTAACATTCATCATGTAGATAGAAATATGCATGGAGCAGTAGACCTTCCGTGTCATCACACGTGTTTGTTGATATAAGTGAGAAGAAGAGAAGAATAAATAGAGTAGTTTGTAGTGAATGTATCAGACGATGGTTGAGTGTGAAAGAAATCTGTCCAATATGCAAAAGACCAACAAAACAACAAGAAATTAAAGCAAATATTGAAGTTCAAGAGAGAATCACAAAGAAGCGAAGGGGAGAAGAAAAGACAATAGAAAGAATAGGAAGTAGACAATACAATTTTATGAAAGAAAAAAAAATACGAGCAGAAATTAAAGAGTTTGGATTAGAAATTAAAGGAACTAAAGCAGACTTAATTAAATACCATAAAGAGTATTGTTTAAGAGTTAATAGTGAAAGTGATGCAATAGACCCAATTCCAATTGAACAAATTCGAGCAGAAATTAATGAAAGTTATCAACACACTAAAAAAGAAAAACAGAAAGCAAAGAAAAGAGAAGTTAAAAATACAGAAAGAGATAAAACACTTCTTAAATGGATGATTAAAGATATTCTTCAAAGGAAGAAACTTTCAAATATTCATAATTAATCTTTTTTTTTCATTCTTATTTTTCTATTTTACTTAGTCCAATTGTTATAAAAAAGGAATTAATTATGAATTATCTAATCATTCAGGTTGATGATGTATTTAAAAAATAAAAAGTTTATTTGAAAATATACTACCAAATAATTTAATAATTTTTTAAATGTTCTTATTTGTTTTAGACTTTATAAAAAACAAACATCAAATATAAAAGAATAAAACTCATAACATTATTTAATTATCTGTTCTTGTTGAAAGTCAATTTAACAGCGATAAGTTCATCAATTGGGAAAGTATCTGGCTCAACAGCTCTAACAAACATCAAAGCTCCTCTTCCAGAAGTTTCATTATAAGACTTTTCAAAGTTCTTACTAATATAACATTTATCTTTCTCTTGTTTAACAGTAAAGAAGTTATGTACTTCAACAACATTTTCTGTATCATTATTTGGGAACAATTTAAGTGTAGTATCTGGTTCATCACAAATATATCTAATTGCTCCATGACCATATGGATTTGAGAAAGAGAAAGCAAAACTCTTTGAATCTTTTTTAACTTCAGCTCCATTTTCTCCAGCTTCTGGAATCTTTACTGAAGTATAAGAACCAAAAATGTATCCTTGTGAGTGGATAAACACAATAACACTATTATTTCCTCCAACACATTCATTAAATGCTTCAGCAGTAAATTCATCAACTGTAGAATCATATAATACATGGCAACATGCTTTACCAGTCCACATTTTGAAAAGATCCCAATTGGTTTCTGAACCACACAATCTAATCTTTAATTCTTTTTCTTTCTTTTTTTCTTCTTCTGGAGTAGGTGATGGAGTTTTAGCTGCCTCAAGTTCCTTTCTTTTTCTTTCAGCTTCTTCAGCAGCAAGTCTTTCCTCTTCTTCTTTTCTTAATCTCTCTTCTTCCTCTTTTCTTAATCTCTCTTCTTCTTCTTTTTTTAACCTTTCTTCTTCCTCTTTTTTTAACCTTTCTTCTTCTTCTTTTCTTAATCTCTCTTCTTCCTCTTTTCGTTTTCTTTCAGCTTCTTCAGCAGCAAGTCTCTCTTCTTCTTCTTTTCGTTTTCTTTCAGCCTCCTCAGCTTCTCTCTTTAACCTTTCTTCAGTCTCTTTTAATTCTTTTTCAGATGGGTCTTCAACAATTTCAGTTAACCATGGGTAAAACCACCAATCATGGACTTGTGCTTTACTAACAAAGTCGTGTTCACGAGTTCCGATAATTTCTTCTTCTCTAAGATTCTTTCCAGAATCATAACTTCTCACAACATAATGCCATGTATAATGTTTTGGAGCTTCGTAATTATAATTTCCAACCCAATAATGACCTTCAGTCCATGTTAATGGGACTTCTTTACCATCATCAAATACAACAAATAACACTTGATCAGGAACAGTGACATAATGAATTTTAAATGAAATACTCATCTTTTCTTTGTTATATAATCTACTTCTAAGTCTCACTTTAAATACCCCTTCCACGTTTGTCTACGTTTTTCTGAAACCCTTTCTTCATCCCAGTCTTTTTCGCTATACTTTTTACGATGAAGCAAAGAATTTTCTAACACCAAGTTTAGCAATCAAATAAAGTTGGACTCCATCCTTAAATTGGTTTTACCAAAAAGAAGAAATTGTCTATTTAATAAGAAGAAAAAGAAGTTTTAATGATTTTTAATAACATTTTAGCTTTTTAACATAAAGATAAAGGTCTTTATTTTCGTAAAAAAAAGGAATTATCTAAAAATACTTTCTTATTTAAAAACTAAAATTAGAATAATATTTTGAGTAAAAAGGGTTAATAGATTGTTGAAACAGTACAATCTATTATATTAGTGAATGTACTAATTCTAGATGTTTTGATTCTTGATACTATTTATGGTTAAAAATAAGTAATTTCTCGTGTTATGTTCTGTTATTTTATTTTTATGTTATTCTTTATTAATTCTTATTAGTGTTTAAGTAATTGTTTTATTAAATATTTCATTTGTTAAATTCTTCTTTCTTTATGAATATTTTTTAGAGTGACTCTGTTATGGGTTGAAATGAATCAACTTCTTTTTGAAGGATTAAAGTCCTTTATAAAATAAATATTAAAGTTATAGTATTTAGTTGTTCTATAGGAAGGGTTTTTGAGAGACTCTCTTCATTTAGTTCTTCATTTTTTCTTCAATACCATTTCATTAAACTCTACACTTAAATTGGATTTTATAAAAATTTTAATGTGTTTATTGATATATTAAAACTATTTCTATTGTTATTTCATTGATTGGATATGTTCTATCATAAAATTATTAAAGAACTTTGTTGAGAGAATATTTCCAATTAGTGTATTGTGTTAGTGTTAAAGTATGAAGTAATACCAAGTCAATTTCTAATGAGAAAAGAATGATTTTTAATATTTTTTTGGATTTAGTCTATATAAATTCTAATACTATCTAATTATTTTTTTTTTGATTAATTTCTATTATTTACATATAAATTTGTTTAGTGTTTAGATAAATACTTTTTTAAATTCATTGATTAATCTTACTCATGTTATTAAAACCAAATTTGGGTTTGATATTTTTATTTATTAGACACCAGTCTTTTTTTTTCTTAATGAATTTAAGACAATACTCAAATAAGTTACTTTCCCTGCTTTGTATTATTTGACTCTTAATCAGTATAAAAACTTATATTACGTAAATCAGTTGTTATAGTTTTTATAATTTTAATAATTTCTTATAAATAAATAATTATATCATTGTTATTTTAAGTTCAAGGATATCATTACGTCATATTTTAATGTCCTAAAAAAGACAAACATAACTTTTTTAAAAAATATTTCATCATTGATTCATTTTCTAAAAATAAATTGAATAATATTTGTATTTTTTATTTTCTTTGGAATAAAATAATTCGTATTGTTTAATCTTTGTTATAACTTTTTATTAAAAGATTAGTTAAATTTATGAATGTATATACTTTTCTTTAAATAACATGTCTCATCTCTTTTCAGGTTATTTTTTAACTTGTTATACTTCTGATTTATAAAACAAACAATAGTTATAACACAAAACGAAAAATATATTTAAAAAGATAGAATTGATTATTTTGTTGCTCTAATTTTTTTTTTACTTTGTAAAACAGATATACTTATTATGTTCAATATCATCTAATAATTCTTCTTCTGTCATCCCCCATCTATAGCAGTAATATGGGACTGCTCTCCATAAAGTTACTCGTCTTCGATGTCCTTTTCTTAACTTTTCAATTCTTTTTTTTACTGTTCTTCTTATTTCTTGTTTTGTACATATTTTATTTTGATTTCTTTCTCTTTCTTTTGTAGTGCCTTCATTACTTCTTTCTTTATCCAACTTCCAGATTGAATCTAATTCATATTCACTAGTATCTGATACTATTTCTTCTTTAGAAGTACTTGACTCAGACTTTTTTAGAATAGGAGAGATGTTTAGAGTATGGTTATCTAATTGAACTAAAACTGGTTCTACTATAGTTGGCTTAGAGATAAAGTTGATTCTCCTTGGCTGAGTATAGCCTTCATGGAGTCGACTCCTTGGAGGTTTTTTAGGAGTAATTTCTTCCACACGTTTCTTCCGTTCATCAATTCTAGTTTTACCAAAGATGTCCTCTGAATCACCGTTAAGCAAGGAAGAAGCAAGTGAAGTAGAAGTTGTTGAACCACTTTGTAAAAGTGATCCAATTAAGATTTTAGGGTTAAAACTAATTTTTTCATACCTCTTCATTACTTACGTTGAGATAATTCTCTTGTTAATATTAGTCTTATAATATATATTGGTTTCTTTTCTTTTCAAATTGTCAGATAAGAAAGTTGTGATAATAAGATTATTCTCTAAATCTAAAAATTTTATTTAAACTTAGACTTACCAATACCACGACAATGCATTTAAACCTAGAAAAATTTTATTTATCTATAGTTATTCGTTATGTTTACACAACCACTACTGTCATGGATTTAATGCTTGTAAATAAAAAGTGTTATGAAGCAGTACTTTTTATTAAAACAAATCCATTAATTCTTCCTACAAAAGAGAATAGAGATGTTTTTTATCAATTTAAAGCTGTTGACTCTTTTTGGAAAGAGTTAACAATATACCCTAACTTACAAACTGTTAATATATTATCTGATTTCATTAAACATTGTTCAAATGAATTAAGAAGGTTTAACCAAATACGAATAGTTGAGTCATTAGACACAGACTTTAGTAGAAATAATTGGATTTGGTCAAGAGTAATAGAATTAAATGTAATTATTAAAGAAATTCCAATTGATATATCACAATTTCATTTTTTAAAAAAGTGTAGAATAGAAATGGAGATAAAAGAGTCATGGAAAAAGTGTTTTGGAGATGAAACACAGAAACTTGAGTTATTAAGAATAAAAAGTTCAATAGAATCAGTTGATATGACATTTATTCCATTATTATTATTAAAGTATAATAAATTTGAACATTGTGTTATTCAAGTTATGGGTGGAAGTATTTCAACAAATGAAATATTATGTACGTTGCTTCAATATAAACGAGATTTTTATAGAAATAAAGATAGAAATAATATAAGAACATTTGAAATATGTTGTGATTATTGGAATGGAAATGATTGTATTATTCTTCCATATGAAAATAAGTGGACGTTTTGGGATTGTGGTAGTTCTTCATTTAAAGAAGTATTTAATCAATACTTACCATTTAATCCATTTTTATTTTCTCAAAAGAAACAACAAATTGAGTTTAAAACTGAATGGGATATTAATAATATAATCATTAATAATCCATTAAAATTTATTTTTTCAAGTCAATTTAAATGGTATAAAAGTGAATTAAATAAAACATGTATTAACCAAATTATTGAAGAAAAAATTATTGATGTTTGTAAAAAGACAAAAAATGGAAATGAAAGTAAACGGTTTCAAACAATAACATCAAATTCAAAAAATATTTTGATTCAAAATAGTAAAATTAATATTAAAGACAAATTATTGTACTATTTAAAAATGGAACATTCAATTATTTCATCTTTTCTTTATCTTCCAAACTTAAAAATATTAGAAATTGATTACTTACCAACTTCTTTAGATGGTCTTAACATATCTTGCCTTATTCTAAATAATTGTCAAGATATTAACTGGAATCAACTTTCTTATTTATCTTCTCTTCGTACATTAGAAATTTATAACTTTAATTCAAATGATAATTTACTAATAAATAAATTATCTGAGCTTCAGACATTAAGATTAGATCATGTTGTCTGTGAAAGAATTATATTTCCTAATAGTATTAAACAAATATTTATGTATAAAGTTAACAATCATTCTTCTATTATTGATTTATCTGAGGTTCAATTAAAAATATTAAGAATAGTTCATTGTGATTCTTTAAAATTAAAAATTAATTATATTAATATGTTTCAATGTTATCATTCATTCATTAAAACAAAAGGAAATTTGACTGATAAATCATTTGGGTCTATTCAAATTATTCAGAGTGAGTGTTGTATTGATATATTACAAAAAAAGATTAGTTCTATTTATCCAATAATGAATTAGTTAATTTTGATATTATTAATAAGAAGTTTTTTTTAAAAGACTCAAGAATGAATAATGGAATAATTTAAATACCTAATCTCATCTTTCTCATTTATATGATTAAAATATGGATTTAAATGAAACTTTAAATAAACTCACAATGAATGGATTAGTATTTTTGTTATTATTATATACTAATGGAAGAATTAATTTTAAATTAATTAATGGGAAATATGAAATTGACTATATTATTATTAAAGATAAAATATATACCGAGGACTTGTTATATCTTAATGGATTAAATTATATTAAAAAAGAATTTGGTTCATCTTCTAAAATTTCAAAAATATATCTTATTAGAAGAGTATATGTTGTTATGGGTCTTATTGATTTGTTAGATTCTTTTAATTTCAAATGTGAAATATTTCCTAAATTTTCACTTGAAGGAATAACTTTATATGATATATATTCTATAGAAACACCATCACAGGAAATAATAACAACTGAAATACTCTGGAATCTAGGAAGAGAATTATTAAATCATATTGTCTAAGTGTTTATTAAATTGAATTTTCTTGTTTTTTAAAAGAATAAACATTAACACAAACAATGCATTATATTAATTAGAGAAGACTACATTTATGTTTATTTGTTGCCTTTTTTGATGGTTTTGAAAAGAGAGAATCTTTGTAGTTAACTCCTGCACGAATTGCTTCCTTAAAAACATCCACTAAGTTCGACTGAGTTAAGGCTGAACATTCCATAAATTTTATTGCACCCATTTTTTGAGCCATCTCTTGTCCTTCATTGAGAGAAATAAGTTCAATTCCCTTATTTTTAATAATCTGTTGTTGTTCATAATCATCTCTAATATCTGATTTTGTTCCAATTAATAAAAATGGAGTATCAGGGCAATGTGTTTTAATCTCTTTTACCCATTTTCCTTCTACATTTTCATAAGAAGCCTTTGACATGATTGAATAACATATTAAAAAAATATCAGTTGAAGGATATGACAATGGTCTTAATCTATCATATTCCTCTTGTCCTGCTGTATCCCATATTCCAAGATTAATTTTATTATCATCAACAACAACAGTAGCATTGTAATTCTCAAATACTGTTGGAATATATTCATTTGGAAATGAATTAGTTGTATATGAAATAAGCATACATGTCTTTCCTACAGCTCCATCTCCTACTATAACAAGTTTTATTGGTTTAATAGCCATTTTTGATTAATGAAAATAGTTTATTAGACTCCAGTTTAAATATTATATTCAAAACGGGAAAAATTAAAAATAGAAGTTTCCCGTTTTTATTTGAGTTAAATTATTATTAAACTGTTAAGATTTTTTTTTTTGATTTATTAATATTCTTTTGTTTAATCTTTGAGTTAATCAAAAATTTATGGAATAATTATTTATAAAACTCCTTTTTCTTTTGAAGTTGTATTTTGTTTGTGTTTTAATAACTTATTGTTGGTTATCAAGTATTTCTTTTTTTAATAACATTAAATTTCATTCAAATTTTCTTTGAGCTATGACTCATAACAATGTTTTATAAAAATGTTAAATTTAACATCAGTGTCTTTGTTTAAGTTTTATACTCATAGTTATAATCATTGAAAGAAAGTTAAATAGAACATTAGTCATATAACAGAAAAATTCAAAGGATTGTTCATTCACGTTAATTAAACAAATTAGTAAATCCTCTACTAATTTAATGAAAAAATTATAGAATTATATCTATTCTCAAGTTAATAATATTCCTTTTTAATTTAATAAGATTTTCATCAGTATAAATTTGGTTGTTCAATATTTTTTTATAAAATGACATTTCATAAATATTATCTGGTTTCTCTTTATTAGAGTCTTTAGAGACTGTTTTTATTGAAATTGAGTCATTATAATCTACCAACTGATTTAATATGAAAAATCTCAAAAGATTATATAACACCACCACATTATTTTCTTTATTATTAAAGTTTTAGACAAAGAATTTCTTTTTTGTAGAATATAAACCAAAATCACCTTGTACTTATTAAAAAGTCTAAAGAACAAAAAAAAACAATATTCGGTGCAAATCATATATACAACATATACCATCAATAATGTTGAATAATAACATTAAATAATTGAAAGAAAATCAAGCAAGAAATAAACAACCAAGAAGATTTAGAAGAATGAATGATATAGTTATTAATATGTAAAAGAATGTTACAAGCAATACAAAGAAAAAATTGTTAAGAAAATAGAAATAAGAAAAGAAAAAATGAATAAGAAAAACGTGAGTTAATTATTCAGTTAATAGCATAATAAATAAAGAATATATTAAAACAATTAAAGAATTAGAAAAAAAGAAATTAACAGTCTAAAATAAGTTAAACATTTGTCATTAGGAACAAGAATAATGTCATGGAACATTTTTCTATAAAAATAATCAATATTCAATAGAACTACTGGACAATGATGAAGGTGTATGACTAGTCTTGGATGAACAAAGAACAAAAGAAATTAATTCTATTAATACTTCATTAATAATTTTATGATTTTTTGATATTTGTTTATACTTTATTTTCGTTTTATATAACAACATTATAATTTTTAGTATTATTAAAAATATTCACAAATTCTATTAGTTAAATAAAAAATAAAATTAATTAAATGACAAATTTATTTTTTATTACCAAATGAATATCAAAACTTTGCAAACACAATAAAACAAATATTCAGTGAATAAGTCTTAACACTAAAAAAATAATTAAAAAAGAATTAAAGAATATAAAATGGAAATAGAACAACACATCCCTTATTTTCTTATTCCTTACATTAAAGAACGTGAAGACATTGATAAAGTTGTGGTTATTGGTAATGTTACTCCTAAAGTAACTTTAGATGATTTGTACTCAATTTTTGAGAATTTTGGTATTATTCTTGATTTAAAACAAATTAAAACAATTACCCATCCAATTCTTTGTGGGTATTACTACATTCTTTATGAAGAAAAAGATAGTACAGAAACATGTAAATATATTGAAAAAGCTGAACTTGGTGATTTACCTTTATCTGTTTTTTTAATGGAAAAACCCGAAGATATAAAAAAGGTTGAGGAGATTTTTAAGAATGAAGACAATGAAACAACAAACTCAAAGAATAACTTTAATTCTGAAAGTAAGGCTTCAACAAAGTTAAGAAAAACAATTTGTGTTCGTAATATTGGAAATGCTTCTGATGATAAAATTCAAAAATACTTTGAAAAGTGTGGAAATATTAACTTAATGGAATTTAATACTGGAGAAACTACTATCAGACAAGTTACTATTGAATTTGAAACTGAAGAAGCTGCATTAAGAGCATTACAAATGGATGGTTCAAGTTTTAATGATCATCCTATTAGAGTTGTTCTTTCAAATAAAGTAATTAAATCAAAGAATGAACATAAGCCAATTGTTACTAAGAAAGAAAGTGCATTAGTTGATGATTTATTAGCTTCATTAGAAAAGAAAACTATGATGAAAATAGACAATCGCAATGAAAAAGTAAAAGATTATAACAGTTATTATAATGAAAGAAGGAAAAGTCGTTCTAGGTCACGTTCAAGAGGAAGAAGTAATCATAATGACACATATAGAGATAGATATTCTAGAAGTGAAAGAGATTATTATAGGGACAGAGGTTATGAAGATAAAAGAAGATTGAGATATGATCGTTATGACAGAAGAAATGAAAGAGACCAAAGACATTCAAGAGACTATTATTATTATTTTTTATTTAACTTTTTTTCCTAAAAACTAAAGTACTTTAATACTTGAAATAATAAATTTAATTAAAGTACGAAAATAATCAATACAATAACCATGAAATGAATTTTGTGAATAAAAGCATTGTTTATATCACTTGAAGTAGTTTCACTTGTTGAAGTTTCTTGACTTGAAGAGTCTTTAGGATCAATTATATCATGAAACCCATCTGGTTGAACAATTGGACAAGATTGCAAAATACATCTCTTAGTATCAAAATCAAAAAGATATCCATAATCACAATAAGTTGGAACACATCTTTTTGACCAAAACCCATTGTCATCACATTCATAACCACCATGTGCATGTGGTATTTTGATTTTAGAATCACAGTTCGTTGTTTTCTTTACAAGTCTTTTATTCTTTGGGTTACATCTAGTCTTATATTTTTCAATAATAGTAAGAGTAGATTCAATGAAAGTAGAATAATCATTAGAAGAAAACGAAAATATATTAACTCTTTCATCAACAATATCAGGGATAAATTCCCTTGGAATTGTTTCAGTGTAATTATAATTAAATCTAAAAGTTTCAAAGAAACTCAAACTAACACCATATCCGTAACCAATAAATGGGTCTGAACTTTTTCCAAGATATTCATTCAAAAACAAAACAGTTGTTGGTGATTGACCAACTTCAAATTCATCAATATTTCCATTTGGGTCTCCTCCAAATCCAGTAATAATAGCACTTCCTCTTTCTTTTAATCCTTTTGTAAAAATTGAACACCCAGAAAAACAAAATGAGTCAGTATAAACAACAATATCTGTTGGTTTTCTTTGGTTATTAATAAATCTTTCTATTATTTCACCATTTTCATCTATTAGAGATGGTTGAATTATTTTATGTTCATTTTTTCCATAGTTAATTATCTTAGGATTCATATACCAATCACCTAATACATCTACATTTGTTTTTTCTCTTGGCTGACAATTAGGAGGATTCTTAATTGATTTTGCTTCTACTTGTTTCATGACTTTTTCAGTAAAATTACTTATTCTGGCACCAACAATCAAATTAACATCATCATGAGGTGCAAAGATTTTTTCAATGTTTTGGGCATATGTGACATATCCCCCTCCATTCAATGGAAGAATAATTTGAATTGGATATGAATTTTCATCAAACAAATTAATGCACTGTTTAATCACAAGTTGATAATTCTGCCAATCATCATCAGGAGCAAAACTTGTTAATACAAAAGTATTTATTTTCTTTGTGGTATTAACAGAACAACTGACCATTTTGTCATTTGAAACATACCCAAAATCTTCATTTTTCTTTAGTTTATTGAAATCTCTAGAAAGCGAATCAAATACGTCTTCTGGTAATAATATGTTTCCAATCCCTGAAGTAAATACTCTATCAACCTTTTTTCTTGCTCTTTTGGACATAGAAGAGCGATTAATTCGAAGAATAAAATATGAAATAACATCCTTTTCTCCATTTTCCCATTCAATTTCAAATTTAGTATTTAAATAAGACTTAGGTAATGGGGTTCTACCAATAGACCCAAATGTAAATGACTTTTGTGCGTTCGTGAATCGAGCATGAGGACATTTTAAAGGAACAAACAAGTCAGCAAATCTTCTAATAACATCGAATGGATCTTTTCCGTTAATATATTTAACCACAATATTTTGATTTCTTACAATAGAAATAGGAATTGACTCATTGAATGGATCAGTTAGAGATTGTGGAAGTAAATACATTTGTTTTGTATTTGATATTGCTACTTTAAATGGAAGCGAATAATAAAAATCAAAGAATAATGCATTTGGTTTTCCCTGTTCTGGTCGAATAAAAAAATTTAAATGACTATCACCAGTTGAAATAATAATTTTTTGAATATCAACCAAAAAATCATAAAGACAAGATGTATTGATATTGACATTTTTCAATTCTGTATCAATATCAACTGATTTATAATAAGTTATTGAAAAACTAGGTTGAGGAGGTGCTTTTAATATATCTTTATAAACATATGCTTCAAAATACGTATGTAATAAATCAACTAATATTTTATTTTCTGAAATTGTTGTTGAAACAGAATTGAAACAATTAAATGATTCATTAATTGGTTTGTATGAATAGTTTTTAAATTCATCACATGTTTGTGATGAAGCAATTAAAACAAAGAGACAAAGAATAATGTTCATTTTCATAAGAACTAAAATTTTTATATTTAAAAGTTGAAAAACTAAAATCAATTTTTGAATTTTTCCTTAAAGACAAGCTATTTTAAGAAGTTTCCTTGTAATTTAAATGTTAAAAACAGGAAATAACTCTTTATTTGGATAATGTAACATTGAAAATGTATTAATACTACAATAAATGTGGTTTGGTATTAACTAAAATAATAAATTTTAATTAATTTGGTTAAAATAAATTCAATTTCGTTAAATTTACAAAATAAATAATATGTTTAATGTTATGATAAAAATGGTTATTATTTATTGATGAAATGTAAATAACTAATTAACTGTTTAAAAGTATAGTGTTACTTTAAAGTTCATCATTTTTTTAATTTAGTGTAATTAAATATTAAATTAGTTATTGAGAAATCAATAATTAATTCGAAAATGAAATAATACTCATTAAATAATCAAATGTATAATAGAATTAAAAGATTTCACATTCACCAAACGTTATAGAATCGAATGAAATTGTGTTATCCAGTAATATTAATATAATTCTTAATATGAATTTAAAAAATATTCTATTTTATTAATGAACAAAAGATAATAATGAAGAAATAATTTATGTTTGATAGTTGATGAATAAACTAGTAATAAATTATTGTTGTACTTATTATAATGAGTCAAGTTATGCTGTTATTTGATTACATTGCTCGTTGTTTAGAGATGATAAATAATAAACATAAAAGTATGCATCAATAATCAATTAGACTATGATGAGTTAATAACATGGATTGTTATAACCAATGTCTTTTGTATGACATGTTGTTCCATTAGGACATTTCATTTCATAGCCAACACTGTTAACACACCAATAATATTCAGTATTTTTTGACTCTTCTTCATAGCAATAATATCCTTCTTTCACTTCAGTACAATTGACTGGATATTTATTTGGTGTAGGAGTTGGTAATGGGTCAACCTCCCAGTGTGACTCATTAAGTGCAACACAAATCTTGTCTTTGGTTATTTCAAACTCACCTCTACCAGTACAAACATCTTCATTTGGACAAGTTCTAACACATCCCATTTGAACTCCTTTGTTACAAAGATAATAATTCTTCTTCTTATCATTGTCTGTGTAGCAGAAATATCCATGTCTTCCTTTACATTCACCATCTACCAATTCAAGTGATGAAACTAAATACATACATAATATAACAAGTAATGCTTTCATTATTTTATTGATGTTATTTGGTAGATCACTCGATGTTTATATAATCTGATTATCACTTTCTTCATCTTCTTTTCAGTTTTCACTATGCTGATTTGATTAGTAATGTTATTCAGAAGATATTATTACTGATATTTAGTTATAAAGGTATGACGTATTTGTGAAAGTAATAAAACTCTTCCTTATTATATCAGGTACATCCTTTGATAAAGAGACACCAACTTTACAATAAGAATTGAATTAAATATGTCTCAGACAGCAT